AAAAAAAAAAAAAAAAAAAAACAGAAATCCAAAGGAGGCCAAACCCTTATTATGCCAACTGTAAACTTGAGTAAGTTGGTCTACAGAGTGAGTTCAAGGACAGTCAGGGCTACCCAGAGAAACTGTCTCAAAAAAACAAAAAGAAGAAGAGGAGGAGGAGGAGAATGAGGAGGAGGAAGAAGAAGAAGAAGGAGGAGAAAGAAGAAGATGAGAAGACGGAGGAGGGTGAGGAGGAGGAAGAAGAAGAAGAAAATGAAGAAGAAAAGGAAAAAGGAGAGGAATTGGTTAGAAGGAAGCTTGAGCACCTCCTACAGGCCATCAGCAATAGCATTCTATGTATCATAAACCAGTGGATCTCAGCCTTCCTAATGCTGTGACCCTTATCCATAGTTATTGTCATTGCTCCTTCATAACTTTAATTTTGCTACTTCTGTGAATCATAATGTAAATATTGGATATGCAGGATATCTGATATGTAGGACATTTGATATGCCACCCCTGTGAAAGGGTCATTCAGTTCCTCAAGGGGTCGAGACCCACAGGTTGAGAACCACTGTTAAAAATTGCTTCTGTAGTAGTTGTTTACAATTTTCTCAGTCCAATTATTCTGCCTAAGTTTATTCCCTACTTTGAAGAGCATCAAAAGGATTTGAAAAATAAAAAAGGAAGTGTAAATAGAAAACAGGGTTTAAAGAAGGAAGGTGTAAGGTCATACTGTAATTATGAAGACCATTACTAAAAACTTCTTAATATGGTCCTGATGGTCTTAATTGTCAACTTTATTTAGAAATGACTATACAGATTGCATGAAAAAAAGAAGAATCTTCTTGTTCCCTTTTCTTTTTCCTCAGAACAGTAAAATTAGAACCATTGGTAATGGGGGAAAACTTTTGATTGTTTTTTGATTATTTGTTTTGAGACAGTCTCACCCTATAGCCCAAGTTTGTCCAAAATTTACTTGGTAGTCCGGGATAGCTTCAAACACTCAGAAATCCTCCTGCCATGGTATCCCGGGTGCAGATTACATGTGCAGATTGCACAATACTTGGCCAATATCATTCTTTCTGGATGAGTTCATTTATTGATGTTTCGGGGTCCTTGCTCTTGCTCTTCACCTTAAACAAGTGGGTTTCAGAGCTGAGCTCTTGTGGTTGCAATGCAAATATAGTATCTGAGGAAGAGCGTGAGAAAAACAAGCAAACAAAAGCCAGGCCTGATGGCTGATCTGGCTGTGAGGGAAGGAAAGGTTTAACTATGACATTGACCAAAATCAAGGAGTTGACAATAACAAAACAAGACAAGACAGAATAAATTGGTTTAAGAGACAACACCTTAGATTTTAGTATGTTTATCCCATATTATATGGCTATTATCCACTTATAGGTGAGTATATACTATACCTGTCTTTCTTCTTCTGGGTTACCTCACTCAGGATGATGTTTTTCTAGTTCCATCCATTTGCCTGCAAATTTCATAGTTTCCTTGTTTTTAATAGCTGAGTAGTATTCTATTGTGTAAATGTACCACACTTTCTGTATCTGTTGAGGGATTGTTTCCAGAATCTGGCTACTATGAATAAAGCTACTATGAACATAGTTGAGCAAATGTCCTTGTTGTATGTTGGAGAGTCTTTTGAGTATATACCCAGGAGTGGTAGAGCTATTCTGAGAAAGCGCCAGATTGATTTCCAAAGTGGTTGTACAAGTTTACACTCCTACCTGCAATGGAGGAGGGTTCCCCTTCCTTCACATCCTTGACAGCATGTGCTGTCTTGTGAGATCTTGATCTGAGCCATTCTGACAGGTATAAGATGGAATCTCAGGCCTGGAGGTGACAGGAGCTCCACAAGAAGACCAAAAGAACCAACTAACCAGGGCCCAGCGGGGCTTGCTGAGATTCAGGCATCAACCAGGGACCATGCACAAACTGGATCTAGGCTCCCTACAAAGATGTAGCAGATGGGCAACTTAGACTTCAAGTGGGAACTCTAGTAAAGGAAATGGGGGCTCCATCAGACAGGGACTCACTTGTTAGCTTTTTTGATTCCTTTCCCCTGGTGTGACTGCCTTGACAGGCCACAGGAGAAGAGTACATGCTCAGTCCTGATGCAATTTGATGAGCTGGGGAAAGGGAACTCCCCTTTTCGGAGGGAATATGCATGAGATAGAGAGAGAGACAGACAGAGAAAGAGAGAGAGTGAGAGAGAGAGAGAACAGTCCTAGAGAGAGAGAGAGAGAGAGAGAGAGAGAAAGAGAGAGAGAGAGAACAGTCCTAAATGCAAGGAAGTAGTAGAAAGAGGGAATCTCTCCTAGCTGCCCACAGCTGAGTCCATGGACAGAAGAAATAAAAATGTTCAAGGCTCTTCTCAAATTCACCCCATTTCATCTGTGTCTTCTTAAACACAATACAAGTAGAACTTGTAGGAGAATATCTATGGAGATTCACTGACTCCGTGGGATTCTGTAAAATGTCTCCTGCATTTTTTTCCCTTCCTGCAGGGGGCAGGGTCAAACCCAGGGACTGAGTGTGGTAGGCCTGTGCTCCATCACTGAACCCCACCCTGCTGCAGGTTCCTTTAAGCTTAGAGGAACCTCTGGTCTTACTGTTGCTCCTTTCTCCCTTTGATGCAAGGTTTGGTGGGGACTGCTTCCAGGGATCAAGCATATAGCCTGCTATATTTAGAAGAGCTGTTTTTCTAACTGGAGCACATGCAATCCTGTAGCCTATAGAAGAAAGCACCTTGTGCAAGCCAAACATGCATCCCTCCAGTCTGGACTTAGGACAAGGCAACAGCAAGCAGCTATTTCATATCTTATAAACAGTTATTCCAGAGGAGAGAGAAGTCAGAAACCCAATTCTGAGAGGGCTCTGTAACAACTGTGTTTAGTTTCAGTGAATAAATCTATTTAACAATTTCAACAATTTTAAGTTTTGAATTCCCGATGAGGTTTCACTTAAGTAACTAATATTTTGGTTTTGAAATGAAGCTGTTGAATCTTAATTTAGCTTCTCTAACATACTTTAATTAGTTTCGGCATAGTAACTTCTGGGACATCCTATCTCTACTTTCTTCCTGTCTTTCTCTCATAAGAATTAAGAACTGGAATTACCATGGAGTGGAAACTGTAAACATTGGTATTTTGCAGAGTTAAACGTGAGATACTGGACTTTGTTAGTCAAGCAAGAATTTCAGTGAGGGACAGTTTTGTCCCTTCTCTCACAGTGGTGTCTTCATAAGATTGAACAACATCAAGGCCTTAAACACTGTGTCCTTCAATGTAATAACCTGATGTAATAACCACAGGCACTCTGCTGTCCCCTTTGCATGGATTTCTCTTCTAATCCACAGAGCAGTGGTCTAGAAACTGTTACCAAGGCAAACAAAACTTAGAAGAGATTCGCTGATGCAAGGTGACTCTCTGCCATGACTGAAACTGAGACTCAAATCAGATCTTTTCATCCCTCTAATCATATCTCGAGAGGGACCATTTAAGCGAGCCCTTCATTCAGTGAAAAGGTATTGAATACTGTCAATGAAAAGGGGGAAGGGAATCAGGAAGAAGTAAGAGCACCCTCTACCTTCAAGGACTTAAATAGATCAAGTCAAGTTCCCTTACTTTGTTCTGTAACAAAATTCCCTTCAGATCTTTATTGGGCAACCAAAAGGCGGACATTTGATGTGTTTAGGGAACCTGTAGTGAAATGGTGGGAACCGTCTCAGGTGAATGGAGCATTCTGGGAGCAAAGTCGCTTATGTCTTGACCAATTCTACATGTCCATAACTTTCGGTGTTACTACGAGTCTCACTTTACACTTTCCTCCTCAAAGGTTTTCAGAACCCAAGTGTGTCAGGATGAGCTGTGAGCTTCCCACCGGTTTCTGAAGAGATCTGGGGTGGAGCCTCAGAATTTATACATCTACCATCTTCCCAAGTTATCTGGACAGTGTAGATGTAGTGACTCTATGTCAAGAGCCCTTGTCAGGCATCTGTGCATATTTTTAGCCTTCCTGGTTATGAGATTCTTTCTGGTGGGATCCTTGGTAAGATCAATCTGTCTACAAATTTTTTTTTTTCAAATCTTAAAGCCCAAGATCTCACCTTACTTTCACACTTCCTGTTCTTCCCGATACATTTGTTGAGATTTTGTATATATAAGACAAATTTTTACTCTTAACATCTACTTTATGTTATCAATATAATTAATATTTTTATTTTTGGTTTTTCAAAACAGGGTTTCTCTGTATAGCCCTGGCTATCCTGGAACTCATTCTGTAGATCAGGCTAGTCTCAAACTCACAGAGATCCATCTGCCTTTGCCTCCTGTGTGCTAGAATCAAAGGTGTGTACCACCATCACCTGGCCCTAAACATTTTTTTTTAAAATGCTAATGCTCTAAATTTATTTCAAGATAAGTGAGCAAAATTATAAACTAAAAAAATTCATCTACGTTTTATTAATGTGCTATGAAAATGAAACAGCTAAGTAATTCAAAAGTTTTCATAGAACAACTAAATAAAAACTCTCAATGAAATCTTAATTTATCTGCTTGATGTCATACAAAGAGTAGTTATTAACTATGACATATGGTTGCATGGATACATGGTAGTAGCTATATATGGGTGTATTGGCTAACTTTTAAATGTTAAGATTATGGTGATGTATGTTCAGGAT